TGTCCTCTTGACTAGTGTTTCCCAGTGAAATGTTCCGGAATAAGTGTCCTGCAATAATACTATGCTCTTTAACCTTTGAGAAAATGAGACTCAAAATCTTCTATCTTCATGCCTGGGAAGAGGAAGATTCAAAGAGTCTTTTATATACACATTATATATACTAAAAGCACATTATATATACAAAAAGACTCTTTGAATCTTATTCTTCATAGGCATGAAGAGAAGATTTTGAGTCTCATTTTCTCAAAGGGAATATGCACATCAGAAGCTCTACTGGTGTAGTGGGTAAGGCATTTGACTGCTAACCAAAAGGCTGTGGATTCAAACCCACCAGCCACTCCTCAGAAGGAAGAGTGGGCAGTCTACTTCTGAAGAGATACTGCCTCTGAAACCCAAGGAGTGGTAGCTATGAGTCGGATTCAACTCGACAGCAGTGAGTTTGGTTTTGTTTTTATGGTTCTACATACCCAGTAGGTATATAATCATGTGCTCACACACACTGCATAGGTGCAGAGACGCTTCCTTCTTTTTCCTTCAAACCGTTGCTCCTCCTCCTAGAGACTGAGTCCTCATGCACTAGGAAGAACTTGAATGCCCTGAAATGCTTCCAAGGATGCCCCTAGAGAACAGAGTGTTCTGAGAAGGTCCTAGATAGAGTAGACAATCACCCACCCTTGGTTTTTCTCAACTCCTCCACTAGGGAGCAGGCTTCCTCCTGAACGCGGTCCTCAATGCTCCTCTTCCCCATCCCGAAATTCCGCAGGGTCATGAGAGAGAAGCGCCGAATCTCTTTCCATGACTTTCCGTTGTTGAAAATGATTCCTACCAGGTGGAATAAAAGAAGGTAGAGTGAGAGTCAAGGAAGAGGATGCTAACCTAAGCAGCCACATTGGATGGGCCAGCCTCTGCCTGAGTAGTTCTTCAAAATCTATTCTCACTTGTCAATTAACCTCCCCCTATACCGGCCCCACCCCCAATCCCCACCCCACAAGGCAGCCAACCTACCAAGTCCCTTATTAGCTTTTTCAACCACTGGGAAACTGCCTCTTCCAGAAAACTCCTCTCCCTGATCAATCAAGGCTTCCTTCACTGCTTCATATCCATGCAACACCACTGCGGGCCTCATGCCAAAATACAGAGTGAACACGGGGCCATAGGTTTTTGAGAACTGGGAAAACAAAATGAATGTAAATATTAGCAAAAGTAGTCACTGTTTCCTCTACATTCTGTGCATGATTCATACTCACATGATTGTTATTGTATTAATGAGGTCTTATTTTGCTATTCAAAGCTTCAAATATTCCTGAATTTTACATATATATCTTTGATGGTAGGGAGTTCTGGTAGCATAGTGGCTAAGACACTTGCCTGCTAACCAGACGGCTGGCGGTTCAAACCCACCAGCCACTCCTCGGAAGGAAGGTTGGGCAATCCTACTTCCGTAGTGATACTGCCTCGGAAACCCAAGGAGGGGTCGCTATGAGTCGGGTTTGACTTTACGGCACATAACAACAACAACAACATCTTTGATGGTGACTATTAAGGCTGCCATTTAAGGAGGGCCTCCGTGTGCCAGGGAATGGACTGGGCCCTTGGTCCTCACATTATTATAATCAACTGTCATATCAAAACCTTGAGCATGTTTATTTACCACCATTTTATAAACAGAGGAACTGAGGTTCACGGAATTTCAATTTAGTTCCCAGTGTTCCACAGCTGATAAATAGAAGATCTAAATTTGAACCACTGCTGGGTGGACCTCTGGCACCTGAGCAATTTTTCAGTCCCAATGCCCACCTTTGGACCAACATCCAGCTGACTGATTTGGGATCACCTATAAACCTCTTCCCACGGGGATTCTAATCAGTGTCACTGTGGTGGATGCTAGAAATCTGTTTTCAAAAATCACCCCAGGTGATTCCAAGGCAAGAGCAGTTTGTGATCCACGGGTATTACTGACACAGAAAGAGAGCGGGCACCACAGAGGCAGTGACAGGACAGGCAGATCTCGTGGAACAAGCATTTCTTCCATCCTGCAGCTTTCCAGGCAGCAGCTCTGTGCAGAGTCCAGAAGGACCCTGTCACCACCATGGCTTCCCTGATGACTGCTATCTTTCACTCACCCACACTGGTTCTTAGACCACTGCTGTTCCCTTGACATCAGTAGTAATCTGCTTCTATGGAGAAGTTTAATTTCCTGAATAATCTGGACAAAATACATGGCTTACACAGTAGATGATTCATGGGATGAAATCTCTAATTACCAAATTCTTCCAACACCATTTACATTCGGCCAAAATATCACAGGAAATGGTTATGAAACAATGAAGGGTGGCCATACTCTCTCCTTCTGCCACATCACCACCTTAGGAATCCTTATTGATTTGCTTCTGTTTTATAATGATCTTCATATTTATCTTCTCCCATAATGTTTTACTTCATTCCTCTGTTTCTCACAATGGAGATTTAAAAAAAAAAAAAAGGCAGTGGAAATAGCAAAATCCACATGGACTATTTTGTTTTACAATGA